GTATTAGGAGTCGATTTGGATTTGCTTTTGATAAAAATCATCCAATCCAAAATATAACTAAAATATTAATTCTAGTATCACAATTTTATTATATTATAGTACTATTTAAATACACCATGAAGGCATAATGGGCAAATGCATAAATTTGTTCATAACACCATGTTAATATAAGCAAACAAACAACTATTGTATAAATTAAAAAAAAAATCAGAGCAAGATGTTTTTGTATAGAAAAAACTTTTAGACATACTATAAAGTTGACAATAATTTTTGCTTTCCTTGTGATTGTATTGTAGTATATGAGAAGAAAATAAACCTAACAACTTTATTATATTCATCAAAGGAAATATCTCTACAATATAAATATTCTACCTACATGTGCGAACATATATTTTTGCTATATCAAATGAATATTGTTGAGTCTACGATATGACTAATTAATTGTTGAATTTGCATTCTAGCTTTTTAGAACATTACTGAACGAAAGGGTTAACTATTAAACAATTAAATGAACAAATTTGTTTGTGCATATTCCTAATAAGCAAATTAATTTGGTCTCATTTGAAGCGGTCTGATTCACAGAGTTGAAACTAAAAACCAAACCGGACTCATCATTTTTAAAATCAATCTAACACAAATTAATTTGGTCTTATTTAGATTTTGCGAATTCGATTTATTTGGTTTTTGTATTTGAACTTATGTATATTTGAACACCCTTCCTTATACCTAAGAGTAACTAATTTCTTTCATTTTTAAACTAACTTATTTGATTTTTAAAATACTACATTACTATTATAATCTTATCATATTAAGCCTTTTTAGAAATTTTACACGTCTATTGTTTTACGAACAAATTATAGATAAGAAAAAATAAATAATACATAAAATAAATATAAATTATCTTATAAAAAGTTGGCACTAAAATAAAAATACTTGTGTGGTGTGGAAGTGTAATGTTATTATTAGTGTCTACTATAAAATCACCCTTCTCGAATACTTAGGTTGGCGTTGTAAACCCTAAACCCTAGTTTCCTTCCCACCGAATACTCTTTTGTTAAACACACCCACTTTCACGACGCAGGCACCACCAGCAGCCGTTGGTAACTACTCTGCTTTCTCCACTAACCTTATAACCTATGTTCACTATTAATTCATTTACAATCATTATAATGAATCATTCCACTTTTTAAATTTATCTATATTTATATATTTCAACATTGCTCTTTCATTTACTTTGTTTTAGGGTTTTTTTAGTTTTCAATGGCACTGTTCCTCCTTTATGAATCCGCTTCTGGTTACGCTCTTTTTGAGGCTCACGGCCTTGACGAAATTGGTCAAAACACTGAAGCTGTTCGTAACTCTGTTTCTGATTTGAACCGTTTCGGGAAAGTTGTTAAGCTCCGATCTTTCAATCCTTTTACATCTGCTCTTGATGCCCTCACACAGTGCAATGCCATATCTGAAGGTAGTTAAGCACTTCTCAAAATTTATGGATTGATTTGATAGTATGCTGAATACTTGAATTGGTTATATTTGATGTTCGAGTTCAGGCATATTAACCGATGAGCTTCGGACCGTTTTGGAGACTAATTTGCCTAAACCTAAAGAAGGTAAGAAAGCTAAGTTCAGCTTAGGTGTTGCGGACCCTAAGATCGGTTCCCAGGTATCTGAACTCACAAAAATCCCTTGCCAAAGCAATGAGTTTGTATTGGAGTTGATTCGGGGTGTGCGCCTCCATTTTGATAGGTTTGTCAGTGATCTCAAGGTTAGTTACATTTAGCCGTCATTTCCTATTTACTCATAGAAGTAGATCTCTCATTATGTTATAATGGTTTTTAATACTTGAATTATGCAGACAGGAGATTTAGAAAAGGCCCAACTTGGTTTGGGGCATAGTTACAGCAGAGCAAAGGTCAAATTTAATGTTAACCGGGTTGACAATATGGTCATTCAAGCAATCTTCCTTCTTGATACACTTGATAAAGATATCAATTCATTCTCCATGAGAGTCAGGTAGTATAAGTTCTACGTGTGAAAAATCAAATCTGGAATTAATATTTTTTGTGTTCAAAATATTTTACTTCCCTTAAGAGAATTAGTAAACTTGAAGAGTTAAATTTGCTGCTTGTGCATAAACTATTTGCAGAGAATGGTATTCATGGCACTTTCCTGAGCTGGTGAAGATTGTTAATGATAATTATCTGTATGCCAAACTTACAAAATTTATTGAGGATAAGTCAAAGTTGACTGAAGACAAGATTTCAGACTTAACTGACATAGTTGGAGATGAAGATAAAGCAAAGGAGATTGTGGAAGCTGCTAAGGCCTCCATGGGTAGAATTCTCATTTTTGTTCGTGTATAAATTGCATTCAACTTTTGTATTCATCTCTATCTAAATCTTTTTTCTCTTGGTTTTCTCCAGGACAGGATTTGTCGCCTGTTGACTTAATTAATGTCCAGCAATTTGCACAGCGAGTAATGGACCTGTCTGAGTATAGGCGGAAGCTGTATGATTACCTGGTTGCTAAAATGAGTGACATTGCACCTAATTTGGCCTCACTAATTGGTGAAGTTGTTGGTGCTCGTTTAATTTCCCATGCTGGTAGCCTCACAAATTTAGCAAAGTGCCCGTCTTCAACTCTTCAAATTCTTGGTGCTGAGAAGGCTTTGTTCAGGTTTGGCCTGCACTTGTTGTTTTGAAGTTTTTTATAGTTCAAACTGGTTGTTTGTTTATTGAAATGAACAAAACAATACTCCATACATAGAACTGCAAAAAATTTGTTGTTCCTTACGGTAGGTTATGACGTGCTATGTGACACTACTATTCTGACATGCTGTTACTTCAAATATGTATATGACTTTTTGCGTGTTTTATTCAGGGCCTTAAAAACAAAAGGAAACACTCCCAAATACGGTCTTATATTCCACTCTTCCTTATTGGGCGAGCATCTGCTAAAAACAAGGGTCGTATGGCTCGATATCTTGCTAACAAATGCTCAATTGCATCACGGATTGACTGCTTTTCTGGTTGTTTCTTACATGTTTGCTTTAGCCTTCTCTTATGCATTACTTAACAGCACTCCTTGCATGTGAAATGATTTTGTCGTAATGTAATGCAGAAAGGGAAAAGGGTACTACTGCTTTTGGGGAGAAACTGCGTGAGCAAGTTGAGGAGCGACTTGACTTTTATGACAAGGGAGTTGCCCCTCGTAAGAACATAGATGTCATGAGGTCTGCTATGGAAAGTGCTGATAACAAAGGTAGGGTACCAAGGGTTTCATATTAATTTATTTCTCTGAACTTGTGACTTATATGGTGAAAGTTTCCATCTTATTTCATTTTTTATGTTTAGTTATAAGGGGAAGAGTTTAATTTGTTTTAACTTTGGGAGCAATATATGTTTCATTCCCTAATGTACATGTGTAATGAGGTAGTATCAGATTTGCCTGATTTAAAGTAATTGGTGCAGATACAGAGATAGAAACTGAAGAAGTGGCTCTCGAAGCTTCAAGCAAAAAAGCCAAGAAGAAGAAACAAAGGGTGGTGATGACATAGTTGTTGATAAGGTCACAGAAAATACAAATGCTGATTCATCAGAGGATCCTAAATCAGAGAAGAAGAAGAAAAAGAAAGAGAAGAGGAAATTGGACCAGGAGATTGAGGTTGATGATCAGAGTGTAGATGATGGTGCCAATGGGGTTTCAAATGGGACTAAGAAGAAGAAAAAGAAGGATAAGAACTTGGAAGTACTGGAGGCTGCTAGTGAGACTAAGAAGAAGAAAATGAAATCAAAAAGTAAGGATTCTGAGTAGATTCTGGAACGCTGTTTAGATTGTGTAAAACGAATTTGTCCTATTATTTTGGATATTGTTAACTTATTTCTGCTTTGAACTTTTACTTTTTGCTTCACATGTCTAGACTTGTGTGGGCTGCTTTTCATTTATCATATGTTTTGTCTTGGCAAGTTTTGGTATCATCATAGCATTTGAAAAGTCTCACATTTTATTTTATAAATTTCTAGTGCTAATCTTTGAAACTGTTAACTAAATTGGCTGTGACTCTATGAAGAAGTGACCAACCTTGTTTCTTATGCCAAACCATATTTGTACAAAATTGTGAAAATTAACCCTTATCTGAGCTCGTAAACTGGTGCCTGAGATCATTTTTACTTAAAAATTAAATGATCATTGGTCTGCCACTATGCATATCCATAGGATTGGTCTGCAACTATGCATACTAAGCACATCTTAGGTGAATATAAACCCATCAAACATAAAGTCATAAACTTCTTTTTCCTCATATTAGTGTTAATTGGCCAATAACTAGATATCACTTAATGTGTTTGTGTCTATATTAATAAAGTAGTTAGAATATCTTATATCATACTTACACTCCAAGTATCTATTGAATATTAATCCTGTTGTTCCTTATTGATTTCAAGTCATAAGCTTTAATCATCTCAATAGAAACATTTTTTTACCTCCTTTCCTTAAGCCTTTCTCTGCAACCTGCAGGTATGATAATGGAGTCTAAATAAGTATTAGAGTATCCAGTTATCCACAACCATATGAGAATGGGATATATGCTCACACAATATGTTTGAGTTCAATTACCATCCCTACTTTTATATCTCATCAAATTTTATAAGACTCAAAGGTATTAATAAGGAGACATCTTAATCACTTGAATCATTTTAATTTCCAAAAAAATTATCATTTCATGAATTTTTCACACCTACACAAGGATCTCATTTTCAAAACAAAACTTTAGTTAATGATTAATTATAGAACATATATATAAAAACGACATATTATTGATGTTCAAATATAGTACATTAAAATACCATTACAATTAAGGTAACTTTCTCCCTGAATGTTATTATATTATTACACCTACCACACTATATGATTATAACTGAACTACCTTACTTTAAACACAAGTTTACCTACCAATAGATTGAAATAATAATAGTTTAGAAAATGTGCCATGATCAAATTTTGCCACCCTGATGCACCTACCCCCAACATGTAGAAATTGAAATTTCACCTACACCTCAGTCATAGATGATTTATAATTAATATATTATTAATGATTGACTATTTAATAAAATTACACATACTAATGATAAATAATAATACATTTTATAGTGTCAATGCATGATTCATATCTTAATTATCAATCATCTTTAACTAAAGTTTTTTTATTTTTTAAAAACTGAGCTAATATTTGAATCGCGGAAGGGGTAAGAAGGTGAAGGAAGGTGACTGAGTTGATTTTGAAGCGTTGGAAGTTCAGAAAAAGGGCAACGTTGGAAGGATTAGGTGACAGAGATTAAGAAATATGAAGAATACGACATTGCATTGTGAACTTATTAATACTCATTCTTCTCTCTCTCTCTGCTACAACAACCATAACCATAACCATAACCATAACCTTATTGAACTTAACAGGAATGGCTGCAGCAGCACCTAACTTGGAAGATGTTCCTTTTTTTGATCTTATGTCTGAGCTTATTCGTCGTTTCAAATGTTCCTACAGGACTCACAAGCGTCTCATTCTTATTGGTATCCCTTCTGTCTCTCTCTCTTAAAAAATTTCAATTTTTATCCTCTCTGCTTCTTAAGACCAAATTTTAATTAAAAAGTTCAGTGCTTTGCAATTGTGATTCCATCACGTGCCCATTTGTGGGAAGTTTTTATCTGTTTTTGAATGTTATGGAAAACTAAAAAGTTACTGGAGAAGAAAATGAAACACAATATATGTTGCTACTATATGAATCTATTCTTATGTTTTTTCAGGTGTCTTTTTTTTTGTTTAATGGATTAATATGATTACATG